TAATCACGTTAAATGTAAATGGATTAAATGTTTTAATCAAAAGACATAGGGTGGCTGAATGGATAAGAAAGCAAGACCCTTGCATGTGCTGTATACAAGAGACTCACCTCGGATTAAAAGACACATACAGGCTGAAAGTAAAGGGATGGAGTAAAATATTTCATGCAAATAGAACTGAGAAAAAAGCTGGAGTAGTGATACTTATATTGGATAAATGGACTTTAAATTCAAGAATATAATAAAGGACAAAGAAGGACACTTCATAATAATAAAGGGATCGATACAACAAGAGGACTAGTAAACATCTATGCACCTAATATAGGAGTCCTTAAATATTTAAAACAGATTTTGGCAGACATAAAGATGGAGATCAACAGTAACACTATTGTAGTAGGAGACTTCAACACCCGCTGTCACCAATGGACAGATCCTCCAGAAAGAAAATCAATGTGGAAACAACGATCTTAAATGACACATTAGACCAGCTGGATTTAACTGATATTTTCAGAGCATTTCACCCCAAATCTACAGAATATACATTCTTCTCAAGTGCACATGGACCATTTTCCAAGATAGACCACATGTTAGGCCACAAAACAAGTTTCAATAAATTTAAGAAGATTGAAGTCATATCAAGCATCTTCTCTGGCCACAATGCTATGAAACTAGAAATCAATTACAAGAAGAAATCCAGAAAGCTCACAAATGTATGGAGGCTGAATAACATGCTACTAAATAGCGAGTGGGTAAAAAATGAGATCAAGGAGGAAATCAAAAGATAGATACCTCGAAACAAACGAAAATGAAAACACACGATCCAAAATCTCTGGGATGCAGTGAAAGCTGTCTCAAGAGGGAAGTTAGCAGTGCAGGCCTACCTAAAGAAGAAAGAAACATTTCAAATCAACAGGTTATCCTTACACCTCAGGGAACTGGAAAAAGAACAGCAAGATAAGCCCAAAGGGAGTATAAGGAAGGAGATAATAAAGACCAGAGCAGAAATAAATGAAATAGAAACCAGAAAAACAATACAAAAGATCAATGACATCAAGAGCTGGTTTTTTGAGAAGATAAACAAAATTGACAAACCTCTAGCCAGACTCACCAAAAAAAAAAGAGAGAGGACTCAAATTAGTAAAATCAGAAATGAAAGAGGTGAAGTGACAACAGATTCCACAGAAATACAAAACATTTTAAGAAATTACTATGAGCAACTATATGCCAACAAATCTGACAATCTGGAAGAAATGGATAATTTTCTAGAAACATACAACCTTCCAAAGCTAACTCAAGAAGAAACGGAAAATTTGAGTAGACTGATTACTACCAAGGAAATTGAATCAGTAGTCAACAAGCTCCCAGCAAACAAAAGCTCTGAACCAGATGGCTTCACAAGTGAATTTTACCAAACATTCAAAAAAGAATTATCACCTATTCTTCACAAACTATTCCAAAAAATCCAGAAGGAGGAAAGGTTCCCAAACTCTTTCTATGAGACCACTATCACCCTGATTCCAAAACCAGACAAAGACAGTACAGAAAAGGAAAACTACAGGCCTATATCCCTGATGAACATAGATGCAAAAATCCTCAACAAAATATTAGCAAACAGGATTCAGCAATATATTAAAAAGATCATACACCATGATCAAGTGGGTTTCATCCCTAGTACACAAGGTTGGTTCAATATCTGCAAATCAATTAATGTGATACACCACCTCAACAAAATGAAAATTAAAAATCATATGGTCATATCAATGGATGCAGAAAAAGCATGTGACAAAATACACCAGCAATTTATGATAAAAACTCTTAGCAAAGTGGGAATAGAGGGATCGTAGCTCAACATAATAAAGGCCGTATATGATAAACCCACAGCTAACATCATACTCAATGGGGAAAAGCTGAAACCATTCCCCTTAAGATCAGGAGTAAGACAAGGCTGTCCACTTTCTCCACTTTTATTCAACATAGTTCTGGAAGTTCTAGCCACAGCAATCAGAAGAGAAAAAGAGATAAAAGGTATCCAAATCAGTAAGAAAGAAGTAAAATTGTCATTATATGCAGATGACATGATACTATATAGAGAGAACCCCAAAGATTCCATCAAAAAACTATTGGAACTGATAGACGAATTCAGTAAGGTAGCAGGATACAAAATCAATATTCAGAAATCAGTTGCATTTGTATATACCAATAATAAACTATCGGAAGGAGAAATTAAGAAAACAGTCCCATTTACAATTGCTTCAAAAACTATAAAATACTTTGGAATAAATTTAACCAAAGAAGTAAAAGACCTGTACTCAGAAAATCATAAGACACTGAAGAAAGAAATAAAAGAAGATAAAAATAAATGGAAACATCTACCATGCTCATAGATAGGAAGAATTAATGTAGTTAAAATGTCCATACTGCCTAAGACAATATGTAGATTCAAAGCAATTCTTATCAAACTACCAAGGGCATTTTTCACAGAAATAGAAAATATAATCCTAAAATTTATATGAAACCATAAAAGACCCTGAATAGCCATGGCAATCCTGAGAAATAAAAACAAAGTCGGGGTATCATGCTACCAGACATCAAAACATACTACAAGACTACAGTAATCAAAACAGTATGGTACTGGCATAAAAACAGGCACATAAATCAATGGAACAGAGTAGAGAGCCCAGAAATAGATCCATGCATATACGGACAGTTAGTCTATGACAATGGAAGCAAGAATTTACATTGGGGTAAAGACAGTCTATTTAATAAACGGTGCTGTGAAAATTGGACTGACATGTGCAAAAGAATGAAACTGGATCACCTCCTTACGCCATACACAAGAACAAATTCAAAATGGATTAAAGACTTACATGTGAGACCTGAAACCATAAAATTCCTAGAAGAAAATATAGGGAGTAAATTTACAGACATTACCCTGAGCAATATTTTTACTGGTATATCCCTGCGGGCAAGGGAAGTAAAAGAAAAAATTAACATAAGGGACTACATCAAATTAAAAGTTTTTTCACAACAAAGGAAACCATCAATAAAACAAAAAGGAAGCCTACTGAATGGGAGAAGGTATTTGTCAATGATATATCTGATAAGGGGTTAATATCTAAAATTTATAAAACACTCATGCAACTCAACACCAAAAAAACAAACAACCCAATTAAAAAATGGGCAGAGGATATGAAGAGACCTTTCTCTAAAGAGGACATACAGATGGCCAACAGGCCTATGAAAAAATGTTCAACCTCACTAATCAATAGGGAAATGCAAATAAAAACCACAATGAGATACCACCTCCCCCTGGTCAGAATGGCTATCATCAATAAATCAACAAACAACAAGTGCTGGCGAGGTTGTGGGGAAAAGGGAACCCTGGTGCACTGTTGGTGGGATTGCAGATTGGTGCAGCCATTATGGAAATCAGTATGGAGGTATTTCAAAAAACTGGAAATGAAACTACTTTAATGACCCAGCAATTCCACTTTTAGGTATTTGTCCAGAAAGACCCAAGACACTAATTTGAAAAAATATATGCACCCCTATGTTCATTGCAGCGCTTTTTACAATAGCCAAGACTTGGAAACAACAATCGTAATGCCCATCGGTAGACAACTGGATTAAGAAATTGTGGTACGTTTACACAATGGAGTATTACTCAGCTACAAAGAAGGAAATTGTACCATTTGCAACGATATGGATGAACCTAGAGAACATTATGCTAAGTGAAATAAGTCAGTCGGAGAAAGACAAATACCATATGATCTCACTTATATGTGGAATCTAAAGAACTGAATAAACAA